ATATGTCCTTTTGCCCTTCACCTCTACCTTTTCCTCCCTGGCAGCTAGAGGTGGCTCTAGATGTACCTTCGCCATCTTCTGATAATGAAGCGAGCTGGTTAGAGCCAAGATAGTTCCAGGCCCTCAGGATGGTTATAGTTAGCTGTTGACAGTGACGGCATCATCTCATTGTGCGAGAAAAGACAAGCTAGCTACTTTATTTGAACTTCTGATTGGGGAGACATTGGAGCTACAGCTGAAATAATTACTTAAAGAATTCAGAGGCAGAGATGGACTTGAAATTGATGACAAAGGATGTTGCTTTGCATCGGTTCTTGGGGGAGAATGTTATGAATAAAACATGGTTGCAAAGCTGTAAGTTGTTGCTCAGAGATGTCTACTGGTCATTACATGAAGCCTGGACTCTGTACCCAGGCCTGCAGCCAGCCACCTGCTTGCCTGGCTCTGTTATCACCTCCACAACATGGGAATAGATCAGAAATTTTGAAAAAAGCTGTGATTATAATAATCCCACCTGCCTGTGGATAAGTTGGTCAGAATTAAAAAGGCAATAGGTCTTGCCTTACAAGGTAGCCCAGTATTGATCTCTCTAAAATGAACATCTGACCAAATCCCTCCGTTGCTTCAAGTCTCTGGTGATTCCCCATTATCGCCAGAGTAAAGCAATGCTCAGCATGGCCTACAGGCCCCTTGTGGTCAGGCGCGAGCACCCTGGCCTGTCTCCCGCCTCACTGTTGTGTTAGCCCCCTGCCCCCTTTGTCCCTTTACCATGGCCTCAACTGTCCACCCACCCCAGAATTCCCAGCCATGTGTAGTCCTTTATTCTTGCCGTGTTCTCTCTAATTTCCTGGTCTTGGGACATACTCTCCCCTCCACCTGGAATGCATCCCCTCCCCCCCCCATCTACCTCCCCTTTGACTCACCAACTGCTGTTTTATCCTCTAGTCTTGATGTAGAGGTCACTCGTTCTGGAAGCCCTCTCATACCCCTCAGAGTTACGTGTTGCTGTTACATCTGTCTTGACACCCCATGCTTATAAGTTTTCTAATACTATTCTTATTTTCAAATATCCTGTTTGCTCACCAGTCTCCTGAACTAGAATAAATTTCCTTGGTGGAAGAAACTGAGTCTTATTCCCTTTTGTTTCTCCAGCATTGAGTATACCATAACAATACTTGATAAATAGCCCTTACAGATATCTTTGAATGGATAGTTTGGGACCCAATTGTGGAAAACCGTAAATGAAATACCAGCTCGTTGACCTTTTCAATAATGCCAATAGAAAGGCTTTTGTGAAGGAATTAGTCCCGATGGCTATGCGAGTCCCATTTCTCCCACGTTGCTCAGTTAGCACTATGGAACAGTGGCACGTTTGCACAAATAGGTAAATAAGTATTTGAATATGACATTAGATTCTATTTTATACAAATTAAAGCATAACCTTTAATTTGTATAAAACATTTAGGGACAAATTCTGAGATAAACTTAAATTCTCTTTACTGTGAAATGACTATCATCTTAATTTTCGTTTTTCTATTATCTCGGTCCATTTTGCAGAACACCTCTATCTGTGGGTCATGTTAGAAAAAATTCATAACTTAGAGAATACTACTCAGGTTGAAAATGGAATAGAGACAGCTACTCCTTCTCATATCATAGAACCACTTTTTTAAAGCCCAGTTCTTAAGTATCTATAAAAAGAATATACGATAAGGAAGTTTGACACTTGGGGCATCCTTGATTAGGCCTTCAGAACATCCATATCACTATTCTGGAACATGAAAGTCACAAGCTTCCTATTAATCAGCAAGACTAGAAATCAAAAAAGATAGAGCTTGAAAACACTTCTTACCTCCAATTATTTACATGTTTTAACTTGGAGTCAGTTGTCAGAGACACAGATGGAACTTTTGCAGCTAATATCTGCATCATTTCAAAACAAATTTTTGAAAGTCAGTCATACCCTACTGTAGATTTAAAATTGCGTGACATAGGCCATTTTTCTCTCTCTTTTTGATATACGCCTGCTCCCGGCCAGGATGGTAAGGGCCTTTGTTTTATGTTCCCCAGAGACAGAATTCCCCAAGGAGCATTGGTGTGGGAAATCTATTCATCAGATCACTGAGTGACACAGGCAGGGCCTGAGGGGGGAGGCAGTCGTGCAGGGAGTCTCTGTGTCCTTGCCAGCGGGGCATCCTCCTGCGATGGCAAATTGCACTCTGCAGAAGAGCATCCTGGATCACCCAGCAAGTTCCCTTTTCTGTCACTTCACTGCAGAGCAGGTGATCACATGCTCCATTGCTGTCCTTCCTGTTCAGTCAGAAAAAACGATGGAAATGGTCCGAGTGGGTCACTTAAGTTTCTTATTGCTCTCACAAAAAATCTGTCAGAATGGTGAGGAAGGATTCCCAGTGCAGCAGCCCGGAGAAACCAACACAGGTCCCCAGGGCTGCCGGAAGGCTGCCACTTGGAATGAACACAAAAGTAGCAGCATGCAGTTAAGGAAAATGACGGAATGCGAGGAAACCTTGTACTTAGGAACTTTACTACCCCTTGGCAATATCATTTTCCAAGGATACACCTCCAGGGAGCCCTATCGCTTAGATTGGAAGCCATTGCTGCTCGTATTTCAGGATGTCTGCAGAGAATAGCAGTGGAGATTTTTCTTCAGTTCATACAACTTCTTAGAAATACAGAGTAAATGGCGTAGATTTCTTCACCACAAAATCTTGAAATATTTCGACAAGCTGGGGCAGGGAGCAGCATTAGAAATGAGACTGCAGTCCAGGTGGATGAGTTTTCCATTCTAGGTCCATAGTGTGTGCAAAGCACCAGGCTTGGTGGTACGGGAGATCAACATTCTGTGAAGTGCAGTTTCTTGTTGAAGAAATGAGAAATGCTTATGCTTAAAGATCTCCTGCGATGGGGAACACAGAAGAACTGGTAGAAAATATGAATGGTGGATCCTTTTTTTCTTTTTTTTAAAGAGAGCTTATATTTTGATGATCTGTGAAATGTTATATCACATTTATATGGCTCAGTAGAAGGAGAAAATTTACAAATTATGAGTGAGGTGTGAACTTATTTCAGGTATGAATAAAGTATGAGCTTGGGTGTTCTCTTAAAGTGACTTCCATATTGAGTCCTCCCTGGTGGTGTAGCGGATTGAAGTGCAGCATTAAGGGGCTCTCCGCAGCCACTGTGGCACGAGTTCGATCCCAGCTACGGAGGTGACCCACGTGGTGCAGCAGACCTCTCCTGTCTCACCCGCTGCTTCCCTCAGCAGTGCACTTCAGCCAGTCTGCCTGTTCTGCTCCCCACTCTATCTCTGGTGAATCCTCTCACCCCTTGTACCACTGACCTCTACCTCAGTTCTTGTATTCATAAATAAATAAATGTTAAAAGAGAGAGAGAGAAAGAGGGCCCTCCCTGGTGGCAAAGACAGTTAAAGCACAACACTAAGAAGCTAAAGCCACCTCAGCACAAGTTCAATCCCTGCCCCGGAGGTGACCCACATGGCACGGCAGACCTCTCCTGACCCTCCCACTGCTCCCCTCAGCAGTGTACTTCATCGGTTGGCCTGTTCTTCTCCCCACTCTGCCTCTGGTGAATCCTCTCACCACACATGTGCCTCTGGCCTGTACCCCAGTTCTGTATGCATAAATAAGTAAACCTTAAAAAAAAAAAAGAATTCTGTGACTGAAAAGCAATTGAGAACCACTGATTTACAGACCCTTACCCCAACTTTACCATGTCCTTGACTTCTCTACACCTCTGTTTCAATCCATTCTCATCTAACAACATGGCAAGTGTTTTGTGAACAGCTGAAAGTAGATAGGTGCTTTTATTTTTATTTATTAAAAGCCATTGAATTAAAGTTCACAGGCCACGTTCTTACTTTTAAAAGTAGGTATTTTCAACGTGTGACTTGTAGTCAGCCATCCAGTGACCACACCAGGGGCTGGTCTGGCACTATCCTCACAGGTGTTCAGTCTTTTCGAACCGGGCTGTTCCTGAAGGTAGCAGTTACCAGCTCCATTTACACACCAGGAAACTGAGGCTCAGTGAGTATTTAACTTTGCCTGGGCCCCCACTAAGTTAGCAACTTGTAGGTCATTTTCTGTCTTGAATTGGAAGCCTCTGCCCCTTAATCTGTTTGCTAAATTGTCTTAGGATTTATAACTGCTTTGTCACCTTCCCTCAAAAAGCTTCCCCCAAAACCTCTTATTAATTGCAATTTGCCTTTCACAATCCCTGATTTTTTTTTTTTCCTGTTTTAAATGACTTTTGAAGTGGCTTCTGCAGTGCCATAGCCATCTGGCCTATGTAGGCAAGCTGTCAGCAATATCGTCAACATAAAGGATTACATGTTAATTAAAATCTAGATCATTCCATCAGATTTAGAAGTAATATTGATCGGTTTTTTAATTTGTTTAACAAACTTGTGTTAGGAATTTACTGTCTACTTGACATCATTGTATTCTATCGACACTCCAGATTATGGAGGAGTGTAGAGGGGAGACATTTGCAACTGCACCTTCCACCTGCGGCATCCCTCACCCCTGTTGATGAGCATTACCTGTAGTGAACGGTGTTACTGATGGAACCACTAGGCATAGGGACTCAGAGGTTTTAGAAGGAAGATGAAGAAATAGCATCTTAGATTACTTGAAACCATCTTCATTTTACCGCATGTTGAATAAAGAGAAAAACAGCTTGAATCTCAGGATCACCCATATGTTTGAAAATTATAAACTTTTGTTTACATACCATTATTATGTAATTGAAAGTTTTAGAATAAGGTTTTGGTAGCGTAACTAATCTCTTTGTGCAAACTGTAAACTCAACGTCTCTTATAGTATTAATGCTCCAACTCTTTGGCAGTTAAAAAAAGAAAAAGAAATGTAAAGTGGCTAATATTTCGAAACTGTGCCTCAAAAAAAAAAAAAATCACCAAAGTTCCATTACTTATTGCTCTGCCTTTGCTCTGGTAATTCCAGGTAAGGCGCTGACGTTTCTCCTGTTGCAGCCGCCAAGCCCCAAGCTCCCTCCTCACAGCACGATCCGAAGGACAGCCATCGATCTGATTGGACGTGGCTTCACGGTGTGGGAGCCCTACATGGATGTGTCAGCCGTCCTGATGGGGCTGCTGGAACTTTGTGCGGACGCAGAGAAGCAGCTTGCCAAGTACGTGCCCAATCCACTTAATTTGCTTTGATCGTTTGTTTTCGTAGAGATGATGAAATGCCCTTTATAAATGGTATATTTTTTTTAATTTTTTTTTGTTAAAGATTTATTTATTTGTACATACAGAACCGGGGTACAGGCTAGAGGCTCAGGGGCGGTGAGAGGCTTCACCACAGACAGAGCTGGGAGCAGAACAGGCAGATCGACGAAGCACACTGCTGAGGGGAGCAGCGGGCGGGTCAGGAGAGGTCTGCCACGCCATGTGGTCACCTCCAGGGCAGGCGGGAATCGAACTCATGCGGAAGTGGCTTAAGCTTCTTAGTGCTGTGCTTTAACCCGCTGCACCATCAGGGAGGGCCCTATAAATGGTATATTTTTAGTAGGCCAAAAACTAGTGCAAATACCTCAGTCTATGACATTCTAGAAATACACAGCAAAAGACAAATGGGTTTCTATGATTTTGTCTTCATTGGGATTTAGCATTGTGCTAGTGAATGATTGATCCATGTTTCAATTATGCTTGTTGTGCCTGGAGATAGCATTAGCTAATAATAATATAAACATATTTATAAGAAAACATTTTTAAGTGTGTGTGTATATGTATATATATAAATATAACGTATACTTGTATATAATGTATATAGTGTATAATGTATATATATTTAAATGTATATAAATATATATACATACACACATAAGGTATATATGTATACATACATACATGTATATATATACACACACATATTTGTTCAGAAAGACATGACTAAGTCATTTGTAGAATTACTCCTGTGCCCACATATTAATTTCTAAATCAATTTTTTTGAGGTTTCAAACCAACACAGTAAAAAATGAGCTAGAAGGAGTGTGCAATAATCCAGGGAGGGAATGATGAGAATGATGGATGAACTGAGGGGACTGTAACAGAAGTAGGAAACATATTAGCCGGGAGTGGTGGGAAGGAGTTGGGGTGATGGGAGTAGAGGTTAGTGTTAACTGTGACCGCAGCCTTCGGATTCCTGGAGGAAATTTTTTATTTTCTCAGATGACATAAGCATATCTAACAAGTAATGTGAAATTGATCACTGCAGCTATCTTAAGCCCTGTACCTCAGTGACACTTAAGTGCACCCACAGCATCCCTTACCACTATCTTCTTGCTGGGTGTGGTCACCCCAAGAAACTCCTTCCCCAGCAAGTAGTTTCCACCCATACTCCTAGTTTCCCTTCCAATAGCCCTCGGCAATTACTCATCTGTTCAACTTCTACGAATTTGCCCGTTTTAGATATTTCATATAAACGGCATTATGCAATATGTGGCCTTTAATGTCTGGCTTGAAAATTGTCCCATAGTATTTCCATGGCTCATTCACGTGATGGCATGTGTCAACACTTCATTTTCTTTTCATTGCAGTATAATATTCCATTATGTGGATTTATCTGTTTCGTTGCTAATGGACATTTGGGTTGTTTCTACCTTTCAACACTTCATGAATGGATTTGCTATGAACAGTCACGCATGAGTATTTCTTTGAATAGCTGTTTTCATTTGTCCTCGGTAGCCCTAGTGGAATTGCTAGGTCATAGGATAATTCTACATTTAACTTACTGAGGAGCCACAAAAACTGTTTCCACAGTGGCTCGCCATTGTGTATTCCTGCCAGCAGTGTACAGGTTTGTTTTCTCTGAGTCCTTGCCAACACTTGCCATCTCCTGGTTTAAATGTAGCCAAGCCTAGTGAGTATGAATTTCTAGTAGTAGGACCTTTGAAGTATCCCCTGGTTCGTGTCTTAATGTAAAAGTTGCCACCTCTTAGCTTTTCTCCATGAATGGCATTTCATTCTCACTATTGGTCAACCTTAAAAAACTGATCTTAGGGGCCCTCCCTGGTGGCACAGTGGGTTAGGATGTAGTGCTGAAAGCTTGCTGCAGCTTCAGTGTGAGTTTTATCTCCAGCCCTGGGGGACCCACATGGTGCAGCACACCTCTCCTGACCCGCCCACTGCTCCCCTCAGCAGTGTACTTTGTTGATCTGCCTATTCTGCTCCCCACTCTGTCTTTGGTGAGTCTGCTTCTCTGGCCTGTACCCCAGTTCTCTATGCATAAATAAATACATCTTTAAAAAAACAATGATCTTTGGGAAAGCCTCTGGACATGTCAGCCTCGGCTACAGCTGCCTTAGCTTCACCGCCCAAGCAGCACTCGGTCTGTTGCCACAGGTCTCTTGATTTTCTTGAGAAGGTTTTAACATTTTTTTTTTTTTTTTCCGGAATTTTACTTTGACCTCATTTTTGAGACAGTTTTCAAATTCTGACCTAAACACAATTTCAACAGAATACGCTCTAGTTTTGTTGTCTGGGAGAAGTAATTTTTACTTTAAGTTTAATACTTAATATTTTGCTTTTAAATTAGCCTGTGTGAAGCTTATATCAGCAAACATAAAAAGCACTTTTGTTTTATCTACATGTAGTATGTCCACAGACACAAATACTATAGTTTTCCAGTAGGTAATTTAAATCTTGCTATTACATCCTTTTCTGTCATGAAGATTAGTATGATTCTCTATACACAGCTCTGAATAAATGAATGTATCAGCATGTAGCCTTGAGGAGTCCAATGTAATTTTCATCATGATAAATTGCATAATAAGCAAGAAAATGTTTGCTTATTAATCTATAACAAGATTTAGATTGAAAATGGCCTGTTACATCCATGACACACTGTGCACAGATTGCAAGGACTGAGGTGGGGTGACAGGGACCAGCGACCTAGAGGGGTGTCAAGGGCTTCGCACCTCACAGTGCCTCCCTGGGCCAACCCCGCTTGTTGCCTGATTCACCGTGTACGTGACCGGGCTCGGCTGCCTTGCCCTGACGGTGATGTTGAGCTCGCTTCGTGAGGAAGCTTTTGTGTTAGGCTTGCGCTTCTTAAAAATTACAGTGCATGTTTATTGGAAAAAGAAAAAAAGCATAAACAACATTTCCTTCCTTATTTCCATTCTTGTGAGCTGTCGAGGCAGGGGGTTTAGGGCAGTGCAGCTGACTCAGGCTGTACCTACTTCTGCAGAATGCGCGAGAACAGTTTCTCTGGGCATCCTCTGTTAGAAACACGGCCCCAGAGATCTCTGAAAAAACCTATGGAAGGCTCAGGATTAAGGGGCTTTAGTAATATCTTTTATTTTAGACATTATCTTATTTCCTAAAATATGTTGGCATCTTTGGAGCCAAAATAAAATAAGGTCTCTTTGAATGATTTAAACTGTGTTCACCAACTAAGCAAACATTTATTGAGTGGTTAATACATACAAGGAATAAAGTAAGGATTACATGTAGTTACAAAGTCACCTCAAACCAAGATTCCATTTCCAAATCATTTGCTTGCTTGCAGGGTAGGTAGATAAGGCCTGTCCAGAAAGGATAGTGATGGAAAGTGAGGACAGACTTATTTCTCACTGTTCTGAAGTCAGGGAAGTCCAAGATCAAGTTGCTAGAGCCAGGTTTCATGGAGGCCTCTCTCCTGGCTTGGCTGCGATTGCCACCTTGCCGTGTGCTCATGCGAGGTCTTTGTGCTCGTGACGGGGAAAAGGGTTCAAGTCCTCTGTTGTCTTTTATGAGGGTAGAGATGCTGTCATTCCAGCCCCACAGTCATGGCCTCATATGACCCGAGCAAACTCCAAAAAGCCCCTTCTCCACTTACCATCACATTGGGGGAAGAGGGCTTCAACATATGATTCTTAAGGAGACACAACATTCAGTCCATTACACAGATCATTTGCAAGTCATGTGATTAGAGCTTGTGTTTCCTCTGGATGTTCTTTATTTTGCCAGGTGGGGAAGTTTGGCAGTTGTAGACAGTGAAATGGATGGAAGTCGGCTTAATGTGTAACTTTTAAAAGGTTTTTACTCAAATGGAGTTAGAGTTGGAATGGAGTTAATGAGCAGTCATGTAAGGAGTGAACCTGGCCTTACATGGACTGTTTTTCTATTCATGCTTTTTATTTATAATAACTATCATCTCCAGCTTCATAATGGATATGCATACTGAAATGTGGGTGAATAGTGGTCCTATCACATTTTAAAAACTGAACCAAAAACCCATCCTGTGAACCTACATAACCAACGATCTGCGTAATGGCCAGATTGGCAGGATCAGATGGAAAGATGGAGTTCTGTATTTACATCCAGATTCCAGGAAAAGGCAAACCCACCCACCTCCCCCCCTTTAAATTTAAGCCTCTGATAGAATGATCCTCTGTCTGTCAGTTAGAATCCCACATTAAAATATATCACATACACAGTGCACTTTCGACTTTCAAGATCACTACATGCAGAATTAGAGTCTGTCCGTTGGGACCACCAGATCAATTACTTTGACTTCATTGCCTGGTCAATTCAGTCAAATAACTGGCTTAAGTGATTTTTTTTTTCCTACTGAATTTTCCAGGTAACTTCATTGAGTGTAAAACTCTTGAGCTGTGCTCTGTCCGCTCAAGTGGGGATGGGAAGATGAGAGAATGGGGGTTGGGGGGTGGTGAGGTGGGAATGAGGAGAAAGATACGAAGAATTGGGAGATACAAACCCAATCTGTGTAGTTTGCCTACAAAATTAATCCATAATGCCTTGCACAGTGAGATTCAGTGCTAAGGGCCTGGAATACACAAGTTTGTTGTTATTGTTTTCATTTCAATAATTGCTAATTGAGTGCCATAGCCATTGTAGAACCCCACATGGATTTCCACAAGAATTGAACAGAGGAAAAGAGAGAGAGTGTGTGAGTAGGGAAAAGACAAGGGGAGAAGCACTAGCAAAGAAAAAACAAAGAATAGAACAGTAATTTGACATTAGTCTAATCTCAGAATCCTGGGTGTTAAAAAGACATGAGTTATAAGTGGGTGAAACTAGATCATGGAGTTTATGATTTTTCTTATAAGCACGAAGATCCACTGAGGCTTTTTAAGCAGGTTAGCTGTGAACTGAAGGAGGTGCTTTATAATAATAATAAAAAAAAATAGTAAAATCAAACCAGAAATGGAACCAGCTAATGTACCCCATTTCCTGCTGAACACCTCTTTCTAGCCCTCTGGGTCCCCACAACACCAGGATCTCCCTTGGGGGCAAAACACCCAGCCATTCATTCCTTCTGCTTATCCTTTAGTAATTTCCCATTTTCATTTTAGTGGTAAAAATCAGAGGGAGGCCCTGAATCATCCTCGGGGCTCCTGCTTCATACCTATCCTAAGTTTGAGGGAAAGAAAGATATTATTACATTATCAGTCAAAGGCTTGAGCAGTATAATAATCCCAAAGAAATTATTAGCAGAATTTTCTATAATCAATTAAACTTCTTTTAACAATGATGAAAACATCTGTTTACTGCATTTTTATTTTCAACTGAGGTTGAAATAAATGATTCTGAAGTCAAAATAATGATTCTAAGATCAATTATGGAGAACCTGGCAAACATCTGGGAACTTTTAGTGAACGCAGTCAAGTTCACATATGAGCTGTGTATGTGAAAGAGAAACTTGACTTACTTTATTATTTACTAAAAACATGACAGAGCTTATGATAATTTCATAATGATTTAAGTTTAAAATTATTTAACTAGAAGAATAAACTGCAACTGAATCTCATCCTGAATAACAAAATACAGTTCATGTGTAAATCACATGCAACATTTTAATTAGAAGTGTTAATACTTTACACAGTAGTTATGTATTGAAACAAAGGGAGCTTGCAAACAGCATAATCATTTTTTGTTTTAGGAGTAAAAGAATACAGGGCCATTACCCTACCAGCACATTCTTACGGTTTAGAAAGACTTATTTCATCATTTTATATAGAGACCGGACCCTCCCATACATGTGTTCTTAATAGAGTGTTGAGAATAAGTATCAATTAATGTAATTGTTGCATCAATACAAAATAGCATGGTTCTTTAAGGATCAAATGTGGAGTAAGCTGGCAATGCTGACAGTATTTCAAACTAAAAGTAATATTCAAACTAAAAATAATGTTGACACTTTCCATTCTTTTGATCATTTTATGGCCAGAAGAGAAGTTTACTTCTTTTCAGTCTACAGTGCTATCCAAAACAGAGCCTTAATGTGAACTTCTAAACAAAGTCCTCCTTTCAACTATTTTAGGAAAACAATCGAAAAGACTGGGCACCATATATTCGTGCCTTATTCTGAGCATTGTGATATGTATTCAGAACTCGAACTTGATAATTTGTTAACAAGACTTTTTAACACTTTGGACAGATGCACATACTGTTTTCAATCTTCACGGTTAATTATTCGATTTGGTATTTGATGCCAGAACACCCTGACTCCTAATCACTGCTCATTGTTGCAAGTCCATTATATTCTAACTGTTTGAGTGCTCCCATTGACCTTGAACTGACATTATAAGCTGTGTCTAATCTTTTCAGTCTATATTTCTAATGCTTCTTTTCTTTTTTCCTTTTTTTTCTGATCCCTGTTTAGCATCACAATGGGGCTGCCTCTGAGCCCAGCAGCTGACTCCGCCCGCTCAGCCAGGCATGCCCTCTCCCTCATTGCCACGGCAAGACCACCCGCCTTCATCACGACCATCGCCAAAGAGGTGAGCAGGACTTGCGAGGTACCCCACTGACTCATTTGGAGGAATTATTTGATATTGTGAGCTGAGGGTCTGCGTCCACAAATACTCCATCCAGTTTGTTCTAGAGAAATGCAAGTTAATAGTTTAGTATTGAGATGAAGCCACATGTGCCTGTGTGCAGGCACCCTGGATTCCAAAGCAGTACATTCATTACCTTCACTTTTGTGTTTCTTTATGCTCTCAAATTTAATTCCCGTGAAAAGATTTGACAATTTTTCAACCTGAAATATAGCAAATTTATTCAAATCAGAACACATTAAAAGTCTTCACATTTTACAAGTGCAAGTACCTACCTGTAATCAAAACTAAATTTCTTATTAGCACTGGCTCTCCAACTGTAAACAAAAACTCAAGTCATAAACTTGCTAATTGTTTTTCCTATTACATGTCACAGATAAAGACTTGAATGCCAATTGATTCCCACATTCTCAGCATTCTAACTAATTGCCCACATCTAACTGAAAAACTAGTAAAGAACAAAGAACCAATTAGAGGATCTTTCCTATAAGTCTTAGTAGTGGGAGGTTTGTTCCCACTTAGTAGTGACAAGGTTTGGCCCATTTCAGCCTGAATAATGCGCAGACTTGGTGTCGGAGGTTAAGTACTCTGAGTTGTTTTTCCAGTAACTATGAAGAATTGTTACAATACTAGGTAAATATCTCTGAGTCTTCCCCATAGCCTAAAACCTGTTGGGCCTGTGTCTGTCCTGGAGTCACCCAGAACAGGCAAGCAGCAAATACTTGTGACTGGGAGCTGGATGGAGGGCACGCAAGGGGTCCTGGTAGCAGGTTGGGTGGGTCTGTATAGGCAGTGCAAAGTAAAGCTATCGACCAAGGGTGTGTGTTTTTCTTTTAGTCATAATGTTAAGTGAGGTTTCACTGTATGTCAAATACACATGTGTGAATTTGCCTTTTATGAGTGTATTTATATGAAGTGTGTATATTATATCAATGAACAGATTTACTAGCCATGATGCTTTAACCAACTTTCCCATCAGTGGAGTTTGTGGAGACCCTGGCATTGGCTACACTCAGTGGCCTTACCAGCCTGACCCCATTTATAGTCCTACAGTAAGCTTCCTGCTTAAAGAGAGTAAAACGTATTTATATTGTGTTTTTATTGTAATAGTTTATTTTTACATCATATTGTGCCTTTTTCCATCTCAGTTGTAACCCCATGGGTTTCCCATCACCCAGTCATTCATGTGCCATCACCATAGTCCAGTGTACCCCCGCCCCCATGTTTGATCCAGTTCCCCACTCCACCCCCATAAAATACCCGTGGCATATACTTGTTCATTATTATTTCCCCATCCCCTACCCCACCCCCAGTCCTTTAAGCTCCTGCTATGAATGAAACCATCTGGTATTTTTCTTTTTCTTTCTGGTTTATTTCATTAAGCATGAACCCTTCCAGCTCCATCCACGTTGCTGCAAAAGGCATGAGTTTATCTTTTTTGATTGCTGAGTAATATATATTGTTTTTTTTTTTTAAACTTAATTTGCCCTACTTTGGATTTGTTCTTTTCTAGCCTTTGGTTAGAGAGATCATTTTTAAAGATTTTTAAGATTTTTTACTTACTGCCTTTTCAAACGAGTAGTCCACTTGGAGTTTTCGAGTCAAATACTCAAGTATTTCTCACTATGAATGCTGTTCTAGGACATCCCTATGCCCAGTTCTCAGGGCAGTACAGTGCCCATGGAGGCTCTTTCTCCTCTAAACTGTAAGCCTCACAGTTTGTATGGGGGCAAAAAAAAATCACACTGAACTGATATTGGTTACAGTCCTCATTATCTCTTGGACACATGTTCATTTGAGTTTCTCAACTGGTTATAAACTACCTAGAACATACCTGGGACACAGTAAGACTCCATAAGCATCATTGACCATTACTACTTGAGAATGAAGGTCCCCTCTTATGTTTGCAGGCATCCCTAAAGCTGGTCCCATTCAAGTCACATCTAAATCCCAGTAACTCATAGAACTTTGAGGATGCTTACTGAGTTGGTATTGTACTAAATAATTTTCATCTACAGTCAAAAGTATTTCTTGACCTGCCCCCTTTCCCAAAACAAAAAACAAAACTTGTCAGCAAACTGTAGATCTAAGCTATGGGGTAGGGGTTAGGGGTGGGGAGGTCAAAACAGGGAAACGTAGAGCACAGGGGACTGTGAGAATGATTCACAGGTAATGTGGTGGTGGATTTATGGTAATTTATTCATTTAGCACAGAAAAATGTGTAACAATGTAAGGGAGAAAATTTTTAAAAAGGAAAAGTATTTCTTGACCCTCCCAAAGAGGCTTTTTTTTTTTTTTTCATTTGTATTAGTAACTGAAAAATAAACCTGGCCAGAAATGTGAAGCTCTGTCAAGTGTCAACCATCCTGTCTCGGGCGTGTTTTTCTAGGTACACAGACACACCGCGCTCGCAGCCAACACCCAGTCCCAGCAGAATATCCACACTACGGCGCTTGCCCGAGCTAAAGGGGAAATTCTGAGAGTCATTGAAATTCTTATTGAAAAGATGCCCACAGATATTGTGGATCTTCTGGTGGAGGTAAGAATTTTCTGGTTTCAAATGACGCATAACCAGCCCACGTTAAATGTCTCAGTATAGATATAAAAGCCTCTGTAGTTCCAGCATTTTTAAAAGAAAGAAAGGTAACAAGCTGTACTAATTTTTGTACCTGTTTTGGAGACCTTGTTTACCTTTCCTCAAGTATCAGAGTGTTCATGTGGAATTGACTTGTATTAAGAGTAATTTTTAAGGGTTACATCTCTCTGAGAGCTTTCATCATGAATAAAACAAAACATGCACTGTGCTTGAGTAAGAAGTGGCTGTGCTCCATAAATAAGATCTACCTTTAAAGTAAGCAAGTCTGATGTCTTATAAGTTATTTTCATGGACAAGGATCCCCTATAGTATAACGTAAATATAATTTCATTTTGGCAAATACAGGCTTAAATATTAAAAATCAAACTGTCTAGAAGTTTTATGGATAGAAAAGGACTAAGTTAATTCAGATTTTATAAAGGTAATATTTGGAATCCATTTTAGTTTGGTGGTGTTTTTTTAAACAGGTCATGGACATCATTATGTACTGCCTTGAAGGATCTTTAGTGAAAAAGAAAGGACTTCAAGAATGTTTCCCAGCTATTTGCAGGTAAAGAAGCTTTTGCTAACATGTAAAGCATCCCATTTCCTATAACAAATTCTTCTTCTTAATTTTGGCAGAGTGATTTAATACTTTTGCTCAGTTGGAAATTCGATTATTAATTCATACCTACTTAGTATCTGAAACAGTGCAGGCAGCTTATGACCCAAAAGGCAAATATAACAGAATGAGCCATCTGAAGAGGTTTTCTTAAAACTTGGAAAAGTGAAGCGTCATCATCCTTTGGATTTGTCTGTATGCTGATGTCTGGACAGAGGAGGCTTCTGGCTGAGGAGAGAAGATACAGTTTTCAGCCAGCAGAAACCTTGATGCAGTATTTTTTTTTGCTGATGAATTTTATTTCTAATATAAAGACCAGCAGGACAATTTACATATTTTCCTATTCAATGTAGGTGTTTTTCCTATAGGAAACCAAGGGGAGGAAAGCTATTAATATTATCAGTTAAAACTTTTATAAACAATGTTGCATATATTGAGTATAAATACTGTTTCTGAGTATAGAATAGAATTGCTATGAAATGGAAATTTTTAAATATCAAATTAGAGTAACATTGTTTATTTTTCTTTAAGAGTAGTTTTTAGTTCTCAAAGTTTAAATCTTGAGGGATATTTTATTACGAAATCTTTTGCCTATATGTAATCGGTAGAAGTAATGTTTGAATCTGTTGAAGATCACTGATTTTATAGACTATGCAACCGGAGGTAGAGCAACATAACGTTTTTCTTCTTACAACAGGTTTAGTGGTGGCCTGCTTCTCTCTGCTCTACCCTTTTCATTGTCATGGAAAGCTTTGCTTTGGACTGGGAGTTTCAACTGAGAGATGTGCTGTTTTACTCTAGGCCTCTTTGTTTCTGGCTTTCCTGAGGGTTCAGCAAGTGTCTGCTGAATTAGGTGTAAGCTAGGAGCTTTCTTTCCCTATATTCACAACAGGCCTTGATAGCCCAGCCTCTTCATCTTGCTGTTTCTGGACTGGACCACTCAACTGAAAACAGGAACAGATACTGTGGTATCCAGTGCACCGAGCACACTTTCTTTTGGTAGAGACATCAGACACGTTAGAATATTGTCATTTTCCCATTTAATTCTGGGCTGTGTTCTTTTTGTTAAGAATTACATGTGATTTAAAACTTAAAAAAATAGATGTAATCACATTATATCTTTCCATACATGTAACTGCTGAATTCCCATTTGATTGTTCCCAAGGAAATGACCAAGTCAAAGTGTGGATTTGTCTGTCTCTTAGTGGAGTTGAGGAAGCAGTTTTGTTAGCACTTATCTTACCAAATGTTGGCAAAGCATTCCTTATAGCACCAGTCACTGCCATTTAAATAAGCCTCCTGTAGTTCCTGGGAGGAAATTGCTCCATGTTTAAAGGGCCCGTCTTTCTCCTTTGCTGGAAGCCTGACTCCTTCCTCCACAGCATTTAAGTGTTCCTTAAATCAGCTTAGCTTGCTGCCTGTCCACTTTTGTTTGCTCTTGTTTAATCACTAGAGAGTAAGGACTCTGCTTGAATGCTAAGGAGATGTGTCTAATCTGAACACAGAGTACCAGTTTCTAGGATTTGGCAGAAGGCATTCTTATTTTGTTTATTAATTTGCTACCATTTATTGAATACCTACCTACTATGTATCAAGTATTAGCTAGATCCTGGAGATACAATGATGAACAAGATGTTATCCTCAAGGAGCACAGAGTTTTACTGGGGCAGGTCATTATAAAGATAAATAATTCCAGTTTATTGGGAGCTATGTTGTGTGCTGGCATAGAATACATGCCAGGGATAAAGCAGGGAATTAACACAGGGCTTACCTCAGGGTAAGGAGTCTGAGAAAGGTTCATAAAGGAAAATGCAAACTAATAATATGGTGAAAGATGCTGTAAAAGTAAAAGTGTCTGCCAAAAGGAGGAAAGGATTTGTTCTCTGTAGGATAGTGGAGGTTAAGAGTGATGGTAGGTGCTGGGAAAGCTTTGCAGAAGAGTCGAGGAGGGGAACTTTGCAGAATGCTTGGTGTGCGCCATCATAAATTGCAGAAAGAATGAGATTGACAGATGTCTGGAGGCACCAAAGTGTACAGTGAGTTTGGTAAAAGCTGTGTGGCAATGTTTGGAATACAAGTTGACAAGTTGATGTCTACTATAATGCCAGAATGGGGTTTTGAATTCCATACAAAGATATTTGGACATTGTCCTATACACAATGGGAGTCAGCAAATTTTAAGCAAAATCGGTAATCCATTTGCCAGAACACAGTCAGTAAGATATAATCTTACATAACACCAGATCTGTAGTTAATTGTTAGATCGACTCCCTCTTATTAAATTGTGTTGCAGTTATTAGAGCTGTGAGGATAATAAGCCACATCAGCCCATTTATTTAAGAGTTAACCATAAACATTGGAAGATGAACAGCACTATAAGATTATAGTTGATGCTAAATGTTAGTTGGAACAGACAGTAATTATGGAGGACTTCAGAGAACACTAAGTTTAATGTGACCTCAAAGTTGAATAGGTCGCTGCCATGTACCAATCAGCTGATTGATGCTAAGTTGATCAATGGATAGTAACAAAGATATCAACATATCAGGAGAAGTTAGTTATTTTGTTGAATATCTGCCATGTCCACGCCACTGTAATAAGTGCCTTTCCACACTTACCAGCTCTCTACTTAAAAAAAAAATGCCTTTCACTAAATATGAAACCTACAGTCAGCCCAAAACATAAATGCCTTTGGTTTAGTCCCTGATGTTAAAATAATCTTTTTATAGGTCTTTCCTTTTGTTTACCCTTTCTTAATGATACTAGGAGTTGAAACTTAGGCTAACCACTTTAATGTTGCTCCAGAGCTATAATTCAGCTGGTATCATAAAAAAAAAGTATAAAACTTCCTTGTGTTCTTTTTAAATGAGATGATATTGTCACGACATTCAGCAAATGCTCTCTATTTAGGTATTTAGAGAATGTAGTTTTCTTCAAGTCTCCATCTTAATAAATAATGTGAAAACCTAAATTATATTATGTAAGATTAGCTAATGTACATTTGAAAGTATTTTATAACTAAAAAATAGACGGATAGCTTTTAAATATATGTAAAAAATTGGTTTTGGTATAAAAATATTAAATAATTTTTAGTTAATGTTGTAAAGGTGATCTTCATAATTCGGCAGTTATTGTGGGATTGCATATAAGTAAAATTTCCATTTTATTGTCATAAAAGTCTTTAGATTAAGCTAACTTCTTGTATTTTGCTATATTTTACTAGTCAGCTTTATTATTTCAGGTTTGCTTATTCATATCAATTATTAATGCTTATATAACGACAATGCACCTTTTAATAGTGATGATTTTTTTGTTTACTTGTTTTGTCGGAAAGATGAGAAGTTGTTCAGGTGATATATAGCTGTTGTAACACTGAGATCAACAAGAAATTGCGACTCCTCCGATTGAAGATAAAATATAAGTGTTTTGATAGACCAAGTAGAAATTTCATGATTTATAAAAGTATTGAGTGGTAGCTCAGCTAAATATTAACCAAAGTACGTTCAGTGCCTATTAGTTGAGAGAACTGAACATAGCTAAGAAGGTAGAATTTAAAAATAAGCGTTGAATGCTTACTCCCTGTCACGCCCTGTGGGAAGTATTGATCCCTACGTGCTGTTCCTCGGCTACATTCAAGGGGATTTCCTCACATCTAGCCTCTGCCTGTGTCACTGCATCAGACCATCATGGAGCCCAGGAGGCAGGGCTGAAGGACGCCTCTGCTGAGTCTCAAGCACACCCAGGTTTGAGCACTAGCACTCAATCATGCAAAGTTGCGGTCAGCAATGTCTGAGTCAGTCTTCCTAGTGGCCATGTTTTTTTTAATCTTAAATGTACAAATGCTTATTTATTTACATGTTGCATAAAGAAACATGACTTCCTAAAGAAACAGACTTTCTAAAGAAACAACCTGAAGCATTCCTTCAGCAAATCCGTTCCAGTGATGCACCATTAGTTTTAAAGACTTAACGTTTAGACACTCTCACAGAATGACCACTAAAAACCTTTAACTTCAGACTCTTCATTAATCAGCTTTTATATGAAGCCAACTTAAAAAAGGAAAAAAGAACACTTGGAAGCTACCATAAAAAAACACATGGCCCATTTATTCCTCCACATCTTCTAGTTTTTAGTCCCTAAATAAAACTAAACCATCAGAGTGCTGCCTATCTGCATCCCACTTTCTCTCCTTTTATTCTATTACATTCTGTAAACTGCTCTGAGTCCTTATGGACTGTGTACATTTAAATGTGTGTGTGGATATATATGTTTTGTGAAATACACATTTTAATTTGTATTTCAAAAGCCACAGAAACATAAAAAAGCATCATAAGTGGAACTCCAACTATGATTATTTTCTACAAATAAAACAACTTCCTTGTATTTACTGAAATATCCTAGATCTTCTTAGAGTAGTTTATGTATCTGTAGATATTTTGCTGTAAAATATATAGAAATCACATAATTAAACTGCTACATAAAATTTGTAGTCATAGACTTAAATACATCCTCATAATTCACAATTTATTTCCAAAGATATTAAATATGTTCCATGTAATATAACAATTATATAACTGTAATAACATATACATCCATTAATAATCAAGAATTGCATAGATGTCAATGTCCTTGTAAGAATATATAGCATACATATCCTTCAAAACAGTTAAGCCAAATAGTTCTACTTTCAGATTTTTTTAAACACTATACTGATAAGGCTAGATTGTCACTTAGGAATAAAGCTGCATTCTTCCTTAGAACATAGATTTATTAGCAACAAGATGGTTACAAACCTGAATTAATTTGATGCTTGTCAATAAGCAAAGTAAGAAGTACAGGAAGGTAACATTTCGGAAATGAATTCCCCTAGATTCTCTCCCATCTCATTAGACATTGCTTTGCTGTTGTTAGTGTCTTAGGTGACCTTCAAATAGACATCACCCGGCACTC